ATTATTAATAATGAAAGATAATTTAGAAGATAAAAATCTCAAGAAAATCTTAATATAAAGAGTGAAGTATAGAATGAAGTAGTTGGATTTTAAGCTTTGTCAAAATATTGAAAGATGATTTGCAATAGTAATCTGTAAACAATAAAGTTAATAGTTGAAAGGATCTTTATCAAACTATTAATGAAATGATAAATCATTTTCAAAGTTGTACTTAGAGTTTTAAAAAAATTTAAAATAAAGACAAGTAAGTTAGATAGAGATTTAGCTTTAATGATACATTTTATAATGTAAAGCATACAAAGTACACATGTCTAGCCTGATAAAAAAAATGAATTAGTTTTGTATGAAAATCCTTGTAATATTATAGATATTTATTAATGTCTTAATAAAGACATTCCATGATAGCATGATTATGGATTAAAAAACAAAAAAACAAATAAAATTATGATACTATTTTAATAAGAATTTCGACTTTTTGTATAATCATATCTTCAATGTTTCGAAAGTGGTAAGATACAAGTGACACGAGGCCAACTTGAAGGTAATAAATAATTATATTCACATTATCATGAATCACATTTTGTGTTCAAAGATATTAAGTCGAGGAAACTGGGTAAAAGTGATACTTCGGAGACGACCTAAAAAACATCGGACGAATAAAAAGTTGTGATATCCGTCTGATATACAACACATGGCTGAAAATTTGGAGCATTGTATTTGATAGCAAATCTTACCTTTACCTTTGCCATACGGTGCGGTACATGGCAAGGGTATTTCTCATAATCACCTAATTTAATTAGACACGAAGGATCCCCCAATCTTTTACGAACTAAAAATAACAAACTATACATCTTTTCCCAAGTCTCTACAATATAGTCTCTCCTCTTCGCATCTTTCATCAATAATTTTACACTCGCGAAACCTTTTGGTGTCATGATTGTCGAACTTCTTGGCAATGTGCGAGTGAAACCCCGATTTATAAGAGGAACTAACTTTCCTCTTTCTAACTAATCCCACCCAATACTGTATTCCTATTATCAACACCAACAACGAAACTGACACTGTGAACAAAGCCCCAAACAAATGATTTGCTATTGGACGCAGAAGAAGTTCGATTAAAGAGAATGATTTTTGATCGTATTGAAGAATTGGTGGTTGAGCCGGACACATGTCCTCGAACTGTAGTAAGGGTTTTGCACGTGAGAAAGGATCGAATTTGGTAAGTGGGGGTTCTACGAATTTGCTCGGTATCAAAGACGGTACTTCGGGAGATGCTGGGAACGACTCGTTCTCTTCTTCGGTATCGGTATTTATTCGGTCTATTTCATTATCAAGAATATTACCATCCTCGGTGGTTTTCTCGTCCGATGCATTTTGAATTGCAGGAAATGTCAATGCCTCATTCGAATCCGAAATTTCCCTATTCACCTCGGATTGCTCTGCTGGCTCTCCTTCGGATGACACGGCAGTGGTGACTGTGATCTCAATGTTCGTCGTCGAAGATTGTTCATCGTCGTTGGAATCTGTCACCGAATCCATTGCCTGACGTGTTAACGCTTCTAACGCCTCCACAATATCATTAAATTTCAAATCGCCTCTTCCGGCTTGCTGACGTGCACATGCTGAGGCCAGCAGCATCGCTCGAAGCGGAGATAATTGATGCTCAGGGTTTAACAATAATTCACAAGGCAATGGAAAATGGGAGTGCGTGTTTCGGGGTGTGCTCAGGCGGGGTGTAAAGGGGTCTGATAATGGAAACAGATGATGACGGTGTGGTAAAAAGATCGACGGGTTGAAGGATGACATTGAGTGCGAATGAAGATGGGGTAATGGAAGATGGTGGTGGTGTGGTTTAGGAAATTGCAAATTTTCCAGGGGGTCATTATCGGGAAGTGGTTGAGTTGGGGGTCGCCTGGAGATTTCCGTCGCGAGAATGTCAATAGTGTCACGATTCGCGGAAACTACCTGCATGAGCATAATGACTAAAAAAAAAGAAGAGCACAAGAACGGGGCCATGTTGCACTTAATTCGCTTGCGTAAAAAAAAAAAAAAAAAAAAAACATATGCGTCCGTGTCGATACATCTCGAGTGTAAGCGCAATTTTATATCTTTAGAAAAAAATGCACATAGCAAATCAACACCATGATTCTCAAATGGATGCGTGAATTTTTATGCTGATGAATCATAAAAACGTTCTGAGCGTGATTTGTCCAGGTTGAAAATAATTCGGAGTAAAGATTAATCGTTCGTTGGTACGATCTGATCTATTGTTCAACATATTGCATACAAATCTAACAACTATATTTTGCGCAGATAATTATCAGTTTTTTATTATTTCAAAGTGTATATGACCAGCACAAACAACAACATTCTATATTTTACAAAATAAAACCTGGAGACAAAGAAATAAAGCTATATACATGAAAAATGTTAGTAACAAATTACCAAACCTTTTTTTTTCTATCTATCTCTACCTTCAGTTATATTATGGTGAAATGTACATAAATGTGTAAAAATCTCTATTCTAGAAATTATAATCCAGTTTGGATAGTCAGACGATTATCCTGACCTAATGTCTGTTTTCCTTCGCCCGTGCATGTTGTCACTCCCTCGCCACTCAATACTGATCGGCACTTTTCCATTACCTTTACCACCTCCTTGTACTCATGTCTAAAGACTCGTGCGTATGGGAATTGTTGGAAAACTCTCTCCAAGAAATGCAACGCATTACGATAATCTTCAACGCGTAGCAACGAGTTGACTACGCTCAGTATGAACAAGCATAAATGCCTTGGGGAGTCAAACTCGCATCTTTCATACCAATCGAGTACATAGTCCAAGTTATCAATCATTGTGGATTTGGCATGACTCTTTCCGCTGGATAGTTGTGTGGCATCAAATAGGATTAACATCTTGAGCACCAAAATGTATGTCCAATGACGGGTACCCAGCTGACCTCTACACGCATTATAGAGCTCGAGTAGTTGAAAACGATTTACCAATGGGATGCTGGTGAGTTTTTCGGTGAGTGCAATTACCGCTTGTTCCAAATCGCGTTCTCGGACCAACAGTCCGTGTAATCGTGGACTTTGGTCATCAAACCTCGACCGACATGTATCACATAACCAATGACCTGATTGTGGATTCCAATAAATGTAACCACCAATTATATTTCCATTGACACAACAATCTATCATCGAACAGTTCGGGCACGGCAATCCACGCGAAATGTCCATGCTCTCTGTACACCTGGGGCAATCACACAGAAGCAATTTCTTGCGTTGCAACAGTTTCTTTCGCTCTTCCGTGGGCATAATTGTATCTTTTCCGAGATAATCGGTAGTTATATGATCCCCTTTTAGAATCTTCTTCGTCGCGGTGTGTACGGCACGGTCGGCGCCAATGGATCGATAAAAGGTATTGGCCTCACAAGAATGGTTCATCCTGCTTGAGATCATAAACACAGCAGGCGAGTCGTCTGAGCCGACTGGGTTAGAATTCAAGGTGAACACTAAAAATACTTTTCTGAAGATCTCATAATCAATGTTTGACCATTCTTGAATATGTTCCTTGCAAATGTTGATTACTTTATCCACATGCGATGTACCAATTATTGACCACACTTTATCAATGGCCTGTTTGGCAGAAGGAACGTAGAAACTGGTTAACACCGTGTCTTGAATTTCCGAGGAACTTTCGAAAAAAATCGCTTGAATATGGAGAAAACTCTGAGGTCGATATCATGAGTGGATGCAAATGCCGTGTCATTCTTTGAGGTGAGCTGGGTACCCGTCATTGGACATACATTTTG